ACACGCCGACCACTAGCGCAGACTGAAAAAGTCCGCAGTAGCCAATAGGCGCTCACTTAGGCCAATTATTGATTTTGTACACGTTCAAATGTTCATTGTTTTGCAAAGTCAAAGGCCTGACGAGGAATTGCCGAAAAAAAAACATTTTTTGCCTAATAAACTGACTTTTTTAAAATGATTTATTCGGTATATTTTGAACTTCCGTCTACTGATCTATGTTTGGACGTGTGCATCCGTTTTCATCCTTCGTAGATTAAGTAATCGTATAACTTCTTCTGTCGTGATTACTCTGTTACAAATGCTGTGTTGATTATTTTTGCTCTTTAATTTCCATAGAAATAAAGACATGACTTGCAGTAAATTAGTCTACTTGAAGGTTTATAGTCATATACTGAAAATTGGTATTATGATATGTGCTTTTCCAATAAACTTTTGTATGCTCCCATCTCGATTCTGGATGATGCGAGCTAGCAAAAATTGTATATAGTAAGCCTAAGAAAATTGTAATGCTGTTATATAAACATTTCACTGAATTTAAACGCTATGTGTTCTAGGAAACAAGGCGAAAAAACCGCTAGATATAAGTGTGATGCCAGAAAGCTCGATGCTACGCCCACCTGATGGACGACCACCCGTTATGTTCATTCCAAAGGTTGAGACTCCTACCGACTTTCGTAAGTTGAAAAATCCCTGTCTGGCTGTACATTCCCACATCTCCAATAACTAATTGCCTCTTACTGCAATCGTGTCAGCCCTCTTAGCTACCAATACCTCCAGGATGGTGAAAAACAGGAATAGGAATAATTGCGGTTTTAAGGGTGTGGCCTTGCCACCGACAAGCAGCAAAACGTGTGTAAGAAAACAAAAACAAACAAGAAGACGGGCTGAGCACCGGATCAATTGATTTATTGTCCTGAGCTTTCGAACTCTTCAGTCAGTATATTTGGAGTAAATGACCGATGCCCTTAAAAACTCCATTGAAACAGTACAGGAATGCATAAATTGTGGTGAAATATTCAAAAATTTTTACAGATCGCTTTTATTCTGCAAAAGTCCATAAAAATAATATCTTGCAGGAGTCCATCTTCAGAGCTACCTGAAGATGAACTCCTGTGAGAGTTCGAAAGCTCAACGCAATAACCCAATTGATCCGGTGCTCGACACATCTTCTTTCTTATCCATGCACATACCTGGAACGTGAATTTTTTCATTAATTCGGAAATAAGTAAACTAATGTCATATTTATTCTTCCTTTTGATTTATGTATAGCAACAAAGTTGAGAGTAGTATACCTCATGTACCACCAGTCTCAGCATTTGTCCTATGCAAACGGTGTTTATAGGTGCTTTGGGGTGGGGAAATAGGCAGTGAAGAAAATTTATAGAACTAAGTACACGGTGGAAATGTAGTTGAATTTGTTTCCTGCGACCGCTGGGAATAAGTTGTTCCACATGCAGATTGAAGGTGTGCGAGGTGCTTCGCGCCGCGGACTATACTAATCTAACTCCAGAATGGTAAGTTGGACCTCGAATAAGTCGAATTAGGCGATCTCCTAAACATCATTTCTATTTTTTTCAGGAATTTCGAGAAACCTGCATTTTGATAATCGGGTTTTTCCGCAATATGTTAAACGATAACTCAGATAAAGGAGGATCTACAGATATTGGTCAACATAATTTCTAAATACAATGAAATAAAATGCATATAGCAGTTATTAAAGTATATTCCACTGACTATCCTAATTGCCCACCCATAAAACCCTTACGACCACCGTTTCCGTAGGAAAAAAGTCTGGGGCTAGGGGTATCTGAGGTGCACTTCTTAAACTAATGTTGCCAACTAAAGTACCTCTCAATTTATAAAAAGGAATTTGGGCAGGAGTTTCCTTGGTAGTGGCGGAACAAAACTCCACATTTCCAGGT